AGAGAAAATTTCTTTTGTAAATTTTTGAACAACTAGAAAAATAGAGTTTATAAAAGATCTTGATAAAATTGCAACTCATCGTTTAGATTTTTTCACTGAAACCACATTCTTTTACTTTCAACAACACATTATTTGAATGAGATTAATAGTTTTGAATTTGTTTTAACGTGAGACCGTGTTCACACTACAGCATAAGTATTACAATTAATGAACATAAGAAAAGCATTGTTAGACAATCTGATCTCCTTATGATACCAGAAATAATGCAAGAGTTGAAAGTTTTTAATTTTGCGCCGTGATTGTCACCATTAAAGAGAAACTGAGTAATCATAGCGAAATACATGACGTCATTCTTTTTCTCGGCTATATAGCTTTGTTTGGCAGACACGTTAAGCTTAGAATAGCGCTGCGTTTGATCGTACAACTTAAAACTTTTTATATTTGCGCTTTTAAATTGCATTAAAATATAGAGCTGCCTAATGCTTCTGGTAATGGTGCCTTTTTTCATTGCAAATAAAGAAATCTTGAATTGTTAGACGGAGTAAGATTTTCTGGGCTTGAGATTGAACAGAAATCAAGCACACATAGAAGCACATTCCGTGATTCTCTATGGCAGATCACAAATCCTCAGATTTTTTGTTTGTGTAGGATCGATCCTAGGGGAACGGGCTAGCTTGCGGGGTTGGTTTTCGTGGTTTTTCCCATGTGCAATCATCATACTTGGTATAACGTCTCACGTTCATTGTAGTGGGATCAGAGATCGCTAATATTAATTATGTGCAACATAAACGTTTAATTAAATATATTTACTCTGAGACCCTAGGAGTAGGGTGGTTAAGAGTTAATGACAGCTGTGACCAGTTTTCATCAAAAGTATTTCGGACTACTAGTGTCATATTTTATAACTATTCTCAATGCGACAATGTATAAAAACTATCAATTTATTACTTACTTAAGAATCTTAATTCATTTTCCTATCTAATATTGTTGATTTCGCAACACAAAAGTTAATTATATTACATAATCATATAAGTTAATTAAGGTGAGGAAATAAAAATCAGAGCAGTAGGTTCACTATGATGGTAACACCAACCATTAAACATACTGGTGGTTTAATGTTCGAATCACAAGTAAGGCAATTAGGTTTGCGATGTCGAGTGTACATGTAGCAAGGCCATTTAAAATTAATCGACAGGAAAGTTTTTTGGAGAGTTTGGTAACAATTTCAGAGCTATTAAATCCGTAGTATAACTATACAAAATCAAATAAAGAATTCCATTTAATTTTCTTGGGTGTCCTCCGATGAAACTTCTTATGTATGATTAAAGCATGGTGGCATACTCTTCTTAATGTTTGCTAATTCACTGGAATGGTTTGAAAAAGTTCAGTTGAGACTTTACCGCTGCAACTAGTAATGTATGACATATATGACAGCTCTGTCTATTTATAATAATTTCATAGATGAGGAAAGTCTACTAAAAGGGGCATTTGCTTGTTTAAGAGTGTGCAGTAACTGTTTTACGTGGCTCAAATTAAATAGAATATGACATTTTAAACGAAAACAATCTAATATAAAATTTTGCCTACTGTGAATCGAATATGACGTGTTACTTTGTAACTGACTTTTCTTATTTAAGCTACAGAAGAGAAGATTTCCTAATTTCTTTATTAGTTGTGAGTTGGATGCTGTTAAATAATAAATAATCAATTTCTAACAGGCACTAAATCTTGCAGAACATTCATATTAATAAATCAAATCACTATCCAATTCGTTTCGGTGTAAGTTACGAGTTACAACGCGCATAACGCGAAAGATTAATTCGTAGTTTAAAACGGTAAAACAGCCCGCAGTCTCTCGTTGCCCTGTAATAATAAGCGAGAGTGCATCGCGTACTTACAGTCGAAACCTCTCTATCCAGATGGGTTCCGCTAATCATTTATACATAGTAATGCTCGTTGTTCTGACTTTCATTGTCCCTAGATAATGCTTCCAGCGGTCGCCGAATCAGTAATAAATGACGAGATGCAATATTCAATTTATCTGGGGCCGTTCACACCGGCGGAAGCAATGCTTTATTCGAAGAGTTACAGAGTTGCCATGCAATTATATTTCCGCCATTTCGCTTCCATGGTTTTATAGTGCAAAGTGTTTAATGTGAATCTGTGATATTTGGATTAAGGAGGGAGGATAGTGTGAAGCATTGTTTGTTGGGTGATATTTACCAGATGTGACTATCTGACGCAGTCACTGATAGTAAAAGATCGTTTATCTAGCAGACTCGTGAGCTTTAACAGGTTACTGAAACATAAATTGTACATATTAGATGCTATAAGCATAATTCTTTAAAAAGAGAAGGAAGCTAAAGTACATTCAAAAGTGTTTTCTATTAACAGCTGAAATAACTTATTATCATTTTCGTAACTCAAAAGGTAAAAATACGCACCCTGGCAAAATAGAAAGCTGCTACAATGCACATGAATTTAAATTTCCAAATTGTACAAGCGTGCTATTTATCAACACAGCAAAGTGAATCTTAGTAACAAATTGAACTTCTTAGTAACACTTTGAAACAAACATTTTGATACCTATAACATTATCAAGTTAAATTTCAATTTGATTGAAATAAACAAGTCCTGAAACTTTAGACTGCAGTATGATTTCTCTTTCTTTTTCTCCTACAACTTCAGAGGCTAAAATGAATACAACATTAGAATAAAATAAGAACTGGGATTTATTGGTGCCTTCAAGTACAAACTAAAACTCACGAACATAAATCTACTTCCGCTCCCCGTCGGAACGATAACATGCGAAGTCGGATAATTTACAATCGCAAACTGAATTTCATATGTAATCATCTGATAAGGAAAATAAGAAACTTGTCACATCAGTAGTATCTCTATAGTACAAAGAAGTCAGCGTTAAGGTGAAAGCTAATGCCACTCCTTCTTAACTTAGATTATTTCTCCTTTTTAACTGCATTTCCACATTCTGGTGGAAAGAGATGAAACAGTAGGAGTGCAGCAGTATGAGTAGGGTATTTAATCAATAGAATTAAATTTTATGATATTAACACAACTCATAGGAGAAATTTCAAATGTTACGTAATAATATATTTGCGCTGATTGCAGCATTCGTAACTCTACTTTCTGCGTATATATGTCTACATTAAAAATAAAGTATAGCAGTTCTGATTCTCATAACAGACAGATTTGAATCTGCTATAAAGATCTGAATCTTATACAGACTAACATCTTGGGAGGAGACTCGGTACTGATTTCACTTAAAGATTTTCCTTTTTTTGGGGGGGAGGGGGTAAGATAGCTCAACTGTAGCTTTCATTTAACGAATTTTTGCCCTATAAAGATTAGAAATTTACGTGTTTTAAGATTTTTTACTTGTTTTCCATATAATAAAGGTTCACTGCTTTTCACCAGAATAAAGAAAATAGTTTTAAAAGTTCCCTCTCCCAACAATAGAAATTTTTTTCTAGATTAACATTAATCTGAAGGAGCCGCTTCCATTGGTCAATTAGCCGTCTCATCACCGAAAACGTTGTTTGAGATGGGTGATCGAATTACACTAGCGAGAAAGGGAAAGCTCCTTCCCAGTTTTGATAGAGAACCCTTGGAAGGATTTCTTACACCCTTTTTCTTATCAACCTTTCAAGAAGAGTTTCGACTCCACACTATTTTCAATATCTCCACGCGTAAAGACACGGTGTACATATAAACATCCCTTCCTTCTTCGAGGTCCTGTTTCGAATCAGTTTCAGAGAGCTGCCATTATGTTGGAGGCATTTAGAAAATAATTTTATCTATTCTTCCAAATCATATAAAAAGTAATTTTTTATATAGTTTCAAATAACATTCTGTAGTAAGTATTATTTTAAATCATCAGTATGATTGTGGCAGTCGAAGTAAGTTTTACTAACAGTTAATTTATGTTGTTTTTTTCCTTTTATGCCTTTTTTCATCAAGTAATCATTCAATTTAGAGACTTATTTTGTTTTCAGATTTTTGTTCAACTCAGAGTTTTATGCAAATGAAAAGAAAATCATAAGTGGCATAATTCGGAACAGAATTTTGGTTGCGGCCTGGCTACAAAGTCTACTGATCCAAGTAGACGCCAACGCTTGACGTCATCACGGGTAGTCAGAGTTGGATTAACCATGCATAATTTAACCAATATAAGCGCATGTTTAGGGTATCAAGGAAACGAGGCACCAGAAAGAGGGCCTTAAGTTCTCAAGAAAGAGGGACACGACAGATTTTTCCTATTGCCGGTTAAATATGGAATATGTGGTTGAGGTAAACCAACATAAAGACAGAAGGAATGGGAAAAAACAAACGTAAATTTATGTAGGTGCACCAAAATCTTTTAATTGCTTTAGAAGCTCTGAAAGTCTTAATCCGGAATACAGTTAGTAATGTTAAAAGTAAGTTGTGTTTTTGAAGGGGGTTGTGGATGATAAGGATCTGTTTCTGTCTCAAACTACTAAATTTCTTTGCTCAAAACGTGACATTGCGCAGAAGATCGAAATATACTTTAACTCCGTTTGCACTGCAACTACTATATTGTACCGTTTGCCCGATTATATTGTTCCAGATGATATCACTTCATACATAGCATCTGTAGAGAGTACGGTAATTCCTTCTAACAGCCAATTTCAAATATTGCCAAGTTTCACCTGTTGTAACATCTCGAACCTTTTGAACAGTGCAGTAGACAAATGATTAATCTTTTTTGAAAAATGAGATTTTAAAATTTCGTCTTTTGTTGCGCAGCAAAAATGTATCTGATCTACAGAAAAAGGCATTCCAGTAACCCGGTTTTTTTTTAATGATCGGATGGTCTGTGATTTCAGTTAGTCTATATAACTGGAGCTTACTGCATTACTGCATGTTCTGTATTATATTTCCTGTACATCAGAAATGGGCATCATGTTAGAGTAGTGTATTTTTTGTAATGATCAAATGATGAAAAAGAGCAGTATTCTTACCGAGTTTGAATTGCAGTTCTTAGGAGACCGTAACCGACAGATACGATGCTTAACTTCCCTCTTTAAGTCTCTTACACGTCCACTCCATGTCGATGAAGAAGCACTGTGAGGAAGTCGAATTGGATCGCAGAGACCCTAGAAAAAAGAAGAAAATAGCAGCCCATTATTTATAATACCAAAGCACAATTTGTGGTACATGAAGAAAGTTTTGCAAAGCACATTTTGTGGTATAGCAAAACTCTGCTTAAGTCAGTTTTACTTAGCCCAGATGGGTGAAGAAATATAAATCAATGATTCCAAAAACCAGTTATGTAAAGATTTTCTTAAGTGTGTGATCTATAAGTAATTGATAGATGATATTATGATCTATAAGTAATTGATTATAGATGATATTATGATCTATAAGTAATTGATTATAGATGATATTATGATCTATAAGTAATTGATTATAGATGATATTATGATTTATAAGTAAATGATCCTTTAATCTAGAAGTAAATGGAAAGATATTTTAACTTTTATTGTAGGTTCTAAAGTACGTGTTTGCTACTTACTTAATAACTTAGAAAATCATAGAAAGTATAGAAATATTGTATTACAGGAAAGTTAATGCCGATTCACATGCATATGATAAATACTTATTTTTATAAAATCAGAAGGCAACCATTACGAAAAGTAGACACCATTTGCATCCAAAATGTTTTGTCAACTTTCAGTCAGATTTTGGGCTTTTTTCATTCAAAACAAAACTAACTTAGTTTGCCTAATTTAAAAATAATTAAAGTGAACTCTGTTAAATTGAGTGGGCTTCGATTTATTGACAATGCCCCATTACTCAATGGCGAGCTACGCATAAAACAGAACTACGCAATCCAGTTTCAGTAATTTCTGACTTGTGGTTAATCACTGAAACCGTATTTTACTCTGTCTTGAAAGAATCCAACAACATTGTGACGCAGGTCGCTTCAAAACGTTTGTTAGTGATGCCCTGTATTTGCAAACCGCTCATTTTGGGAGCGATGTTGCTTGCCTTGCAGTCGCTGCTCTTAAAGAATCAAAATTAATAAAATTTTAGAAGTAAATTTTATATAATAATTAGCATCATAATTAGCATTTTCTAGAGCCCACCAGCGGCCGAGCGGTAAAGCCGCTGAACACTGGTAGTTCGGTCCGAGGTTCGCATCCCGCGAACTACATCGGGCTGGCTGCATGGGCGTTTTCGTGGTTTTCCCCATGTGTAACGTGTATACGAGCCAGTTTCCCTTAGAAAAGTCCTCCACGAAGGCATCCCTCCCCTTAGGCAGATAGCCTTAGTGTGCTTTGCCGTAATTAAATAAACCAAACCTAAACCAATCTTCATTTTCTTAGGCGATTAAATAAAGCCAAATACTGGAATGATATTAAGAAAGTACAAAAATGAAGGCTTCCACCCACCATTGACAAGTGAACTAATCGTTCTTTAGTGAAGCGTTTTCGCTAAGTGGATGCAGGTGCTCAGTCACAGTAATAATTTTAAACCCTTAAATGTAAACAAATCATAAAACTACATGTCACTCTGTAACGATCGACACTCGAATTTCGTTTTGAATACTGATGTTCTTACAGGTAAATACTATTATCATCAGAGAAAAGCGTAAAACAATTCACAATACTCTCATGGGATGTTTATGACATGCTTCATTTTGGAAGTACTGAAAGCAAATTTGAAAGCCAAAGCCATTGTGATTCAAAGCCTTAACTCAAATATACATCAGAGATCATATTTTAAGGATGCATATAATCGTGAATGCAGTTTCGTGTTGCCTTTTATCGTTCTCTTATACATTTATAGTATAACAGAAATTTTAATAAAATATCAATAAAAAGAGGTTTTTAATTATACAATTTGAAAGCAAGTACAGAAAATTTCCAGCAAACTAATACAAGTATTTGGAAACTTTTAAAACTTCCATAAGTTGTAACTTTAGTCATATTTTATTAAATCTACTAGATATTTCCATAATTACAAACAATTTTTTAAGAAACGCTTTGTGTAAATTAATTAATGTTTATCTGTGTATGTAATTATCATTTTAACTAGGCATCGCTTTCAACACGAAAGATTAGGCAGTAATATTCACTTCAATGCGATTGTTTATATTAAAACCAATAATATAATATAATTATATTATATTAAAGCAATAACATAATATAATTATATTATATTAAAGCAATAATTGCTTGCTTTAATATATATGTTACCGGCAAAAAGTGAAATACGGCATTATATAGAATGCCTAGGCAATGCATATAATGCCTAAAACTAACCGGCAATGTATGAAACTATTCATATTTTACACATTTTCTAGGTTTTCTCTAGGACGCCAAATGAGAAAACGGCAAACATTTCCGATTCGGTTCGAATATCACGTCTTTTCTATTCAAAGGTGTTTTAAAAGACCGTGTCGCCTTCCTCTCCGCATTCGCAGAAAGGAGTACCCCTAAGTCTGAATCTGCTGAGGTATACTGGGAATAGTTCATGACCTGTCAAGGAATGTGTTAGGCTAGCACGGTCGGTCTTCATTTTCATGTTAACTTTTGGCAGTAAGCGATATGTTCTTCGTCCTGCTTCTGCTTTTGTCCATCTACTTTGTCTGTTTTGTAGCAAACTTATCAAAGTTGTTCTTTTAATGTGAGAAAAAGAAAGTTTAGTTGGTCATTCTAATAAATCGGCGCAGTTGGCTGCCTGCTTGGCCAGTAGGTCAGCGGCTTTATTGCCTTGAGAACCCCTGTATGAGCGGGAACCCATAAAGTAGGTTATTATGAGATAGGCATTGCCAGAAGCTGTTTTTGAATTCGGTATACCAAGGGGCTCCGGTTGTTTTGACCTGCGATAGCCACGAGACTTGATGCCGAATCGTTGAGTACGGAGAATTTCTGCCGTTGACATGTGTTCGCATATCTAATTGCAGCACTGATAGCTAGAAGCTCTGCTTGGTATACCTAGTTGTTCAAGCCTAGTTTCCTCTTCCACTCAAATGTTATAGTAACATTTTTTTCCAGTGTACAGGAGGGGCTGCCCGTGCCCGCGCCGTTTTGTAAAGCAGCTGGATGAAAGTTATTGCAGATGTTTTGCTCCTCGTAATCCAGGTGGTGATAACTATGATCCCAGAGTGTTGAAGTTTGACCCAGCCTGGTAACCCTTACGACCGCTGCCTCCTTTCTTTCAACTACCAAGTCTAGGCGAGGAATTACTACAAGTCGTAGGGCTAGTGTTGACGTGGTGCCGTAAGTCCACTTGAAGTAGCTGCTGTTCATACTTGAAGTAGCTGCTGTCTCTGAATAAAGAGCAGGAATCTTCTCATGTGAGACGTAAGTTCAGATTGCCGCTCTTTAAGTTATTACTCTTTCTGTAATGGTTCTATGCCAGATTTTAGATAGATGCTTAGATGAGATATCCTATTTATGTGAAGTCATGCGTCTCATGTTGTTGCTTAGGATGCTAATTCGAGTCTTGATTCCTGACATGTGGCATTCAGGAAAATCTGTTGTTGAGTATTAGCCCAAGATATTTCAATTGGAGAAAACATTTTACCGGTATCCCATGGAGTTAAACACTAGGTTGCGTTTAAGCTGCTTGCTGCGTCCTATGAGTAAAGCTTTAGTTTTCTGGGCCTAAATCTTATGTACTCTGGCCCATTGGGAGATCGGATCAATACAGTACTGAGCTCTCATTTCGAGGCTGCTCTTTCCTGCCACAATTAGCATAAAATCTATAGGCTGTAATTCGAATATATTCTATGCTCTCGAACTGAAGAAATGCCGAGTTTGCCAGTATATTCCACAGAATTGGTTCAAGGCATGACCCCTGTGGGCACCCTCCAAAGACATGTTTGACATAAATGCAACTGTTTGATGTTACTTGTACACTTCGTCTTGAAGGTATGAGTGAAGGATGCTAATAATGGCTGTGCGGCAGGCCATATTGTGCAGCAAATGTATTACGTCTGGCCACCAAATGGAATTAAAGGTTCCCTTGACGTCAATGGCTATTGCCAGTCATTGAAAGTCGTTATCCTTGTTCTGTTGGATAGTGCAAATTAAGTGTTTTATGACATACTCAGTAGAGTTGCCCATTCGGAATCCCTATTGGTTGGGTTGCAGGGCCTTGGTACTTTGCAAAACGAAGTCCATTCTGGAAAGAATTACTCTTCCCTATACATTACCGAGCGGTGGCGGCAGACAGACTGGCCTGGATGATGAAGGAACTGCCAGAGTTTAGCCAGATTTTAGAAATAACGCCACTTCTGCCAACTTCATATTTTTAGGACACTGCTGATGTTTCCAGAAAGCTGAAATAACCGCGAAGAACAATTTTGGGAATTCATCGTGTATCTTTCTAATAATGATATTATCAATACCATCCGGATCTAGAGCTTTTTTGGGTGCCAGAGTACGTATGATGTTATCCACTTCCATTTACGTAGCAGGGAACTCGTCTCTTTTGGTAGCTTTATAAGTATTTCTCCAGCCTTCTTAGCATGCCTTCGTGGTATGATGGTCTGCATGCTAGGCGCGTATTCCAGAGGTCCGCGGTTCGATTCCTGGCAAAGGCGTTGCTAAGTTTTCAATCTTGCCTGCTTCTAAAAAGTCCTAATGTCTCTACAACTTGGCGAAATTTCATACTGTAGGTTTTTCTCGCTTCCTCTTGTTACTCTAAGTGATCCTTTTTATCATCGTCAGGAAAAACCGCATTTATGATCTCACTGATCACTTCGGTGTTGGATGAGGCAATGCTATTCTCCACAGGCGTAAGTGTCGTAGAACGAAAAACCTTCTATATATTATCGATTGGGCAGGTCCAAAAGCTTCTGTGACATTACTACAGTAGGTTCTGTATGAGATTAACTTGGCCGCCTTAATTTTTCTTTTATATAAAGCTCTGGCGGTGTTGTATGTTATCATTTTTGCTGTAGAGTTGGATCTACTGTAGACTGTGCTCTTCTGCGAAGTGCCCGCACTCTGCTTCCCTCTGTGTTAAGCTCTGGGGAGCTCCAGGATATGGAGTGTCTTGCCTTTAGAGATTTCAAAGGATATGCTTTGTAAGCGGCGTGCGCCATTTTTGTAACTAGTAAGTCGTAGAGATTATCTAAGGAGTTTCTGTCCTGGCAGTTTTTGAAATCTTTGAGGTTTCTCTACATACGTTCGATAACTTCAAGGAATGCCTTCCTGCTTTTAAAGCAGTTATGCCACTCGAAACACTAAGACTCACTGCCTCATCACTCTAAGCTTGCTTATGGATGTTTAAAGTTTTTTCTGGCCGATTTACCCTGTTTAACTCAAAATTTTATTTTTGTTCGTTGTTCCACTTTTCTCTCCATTCGGAATCGCGTGATGACTACCACATATACGTGTTTAAACAAATTCCATTATAACAACTTCTAATAGTAATACAGCGATGTCCTTGTTCAAGAAATTCTATTATAACAACAAATTCCATTAAAACAACTTCTAATACTAATGCAGCAATGTCCCTGTTCAAGAAATTCTATTATAACAACTTCTAATACTAATGCAGCGATGTCCCTTGCCACACTGAGGTCTAAAGATTAAAGTTTACAGTAGCTGTTAACGCAACCACTCGCTCCCATTTCGTAGCACGCTTTAGAACTAGTCCGGGAACATTTGGATACACTCTTTTACCAGATTTGATAAATATACGAGCTCGTATATGCGTTGTGGTTATTTCGAAATGTTGCTTTCATGGCCGAAATGTTTTTGTCAGAGATTTAGATTTTATTCCATAGAGACTACCCGGCATTGAAAATGCAACACCAAGAATGAGTGCACCGAAAATTATGCAAATTTCAGGCTAGACGCACGCACGTCACTGAATTATGCGAATGATGTGAAGTGCACAGCTCTCCAGTGCACGCTGAAAAAGATATAAGAGAAGGAACCTGTAGAATGTTCAATTTTCGTGCCACTATTTCTGCTATTGAAATCATCATAGAAAATTTGTTCTTGTCTCAAAGGAAATGTTTAATAGCAAGGAATGGCAAGCAGTCGTCAACGACCTAGAAGATATTACTAGGGGCATTGTGATTGGATTGAGAAGGGCAGGTTGGTCCACACGGCAAATCTCAGGACAGGACTACGTGTGGGAAGCACCAACACATCGCCATTGGCAGAACTAAGGGCAAATCTCAGCTGATACACACCTAGATGCGTCCACAGCGATGGTTGGAATAAGAAATGTGGCACGTTCGAGGAGTGGCGGGGCAGCCAGTGTGACGTCAACACACGTGGATCGATGCATTAGCCGAGAAGAATTGGCGCACCCCCAAGTCACTTCTACCTCCATTCTGCAGCATGTTCATGACACCCTGGATGTCTCAATATCGACCAGAACTATTTGCCGTCTATTGGTGACTAGTTGTCTGCACTCGTGGCGTCCGTTACTCTATTGGTCCCACATCATAGATGCCAACGTCTGCAATGGTGCCGGTAGCGGCGACATGGTAGAGGGTCGTATTTTCAGAATAGCAGAGGGTCGTGCTCCCAGAAGAGCCACATTTCTGTTTCTCCAATGAATAGTCACCGCGTACGAGTGCGGTGTTGATGTGGATACAGGTCCAATCTGTCAGTAATAGTAGAACGCATCCCCGCTCGACAATGCGGTATTATGGTTTGGGGAGCAATTGGATACAATTTTAGGTCACCTTGAGTTCGTATTCAGGGCAGTACGATGGACCAACGATACGTGGATGATGTATTGAGGCGGAAGACACTCTCATATATTCAAGAAGTGCCCAGTGCTAATTTTCAGCAGTATAACGCCCAACCGCACACTGCTCGCATCAACCAACGTGCTCTGCAATGTGTATAGATGCTTCCCTGGCCACTGTTGTCTCCTAATCTCTCATCAATCAAACACATTTGGGATGTGATTGGACGCCATTTGCAGACCCTGCCATTGCCACGCTCACTGAGTCTGTACTTAGACGTGTTGCTTCATGTATCGCCGTCCAAGGTGGCCCTATGACCTCGCTGTTCTGTATTATGCATATCAGTTCGAAATAAAGATCACTTATTGTTTGTTGCTGTGTCTCTCTGTTTTCCGAGTTTCATCACATTCTGGCCATTTCTTCTTGGTGTTGCATTTTCAAAGTCGCGTAGTGTACAAAGTGGCTCAAAAGGTCTTAGAATAAATGTATTTCAAGAATATATAAATTGCCATTTTACTTAGGAATATGTAACCTCAAATGCAATTCTAAGCGGGAGGTTCAGAAAAAATTCAAGGTAAAGGAATGCAAGTATGACAACAAATAGTGCTTATTAGACATCGTATGTTTACAATTTAGGAAGAAGGTCATTCCATGTGCAGCACCACATGTCTTAACGTCAATACACAAATCGACAGTATAACGATGCGAGGCCTTTTTATGAGTCTTATGACAAAATCAATCCAAAGGTTGGAGGGTTCAGACACACAAAACTTTTGGGGTAATCGCAGAGGAAGACATAATTGGGAACAAATCAGATGGCCGAGAGGAGAACTTTTCCATCCGGTAAAATATCAACGCTTCCTATTATAATGATTCGCTTTGTCTATAAAGTGGTTTCCAAAGGTTCGTGCGTCCGAGATGGTGAAGTTCTATCATCGCTGCGTCTGGTTTCACTAGCGTCTGGGAAGCTCAAAATTGTAAGTGTACCGGCTAACAAAATGCATTGTGATTCCAGTAAAACTTTGCCAAAAGTGAAGGTTACGTATTGAGCGTATGGCAAAATCGCGTTACGTAAAGTAAATGTTTTGGAAAAAGTAAGTTAGGTATTATTAAGATTAAGAAAGTATGATAATTTAAAAAAAATATAAATATTGTTGTAGTTAAAAAGAAAAAGTAAGAAACAAATGTTAACTGAAAGAATTTTTATTACCGCTTAATAAATGCGTATACAATTATTTTTAAAAAGCTTGTGATTTTTGCTTGGGATAATGAGCGAAGCATGTCTTTAAACGATTCGTGCTGAAGAGCACAAGATTTCACATAAAATATCCTTTTCATTTGAGTCAGTCTTCATTGCAAAAACAGACTGTTCCTGTGACATCTGTACCAATTTGTTTTACTTCTTGTAAGTTAAAGGCGTTTTACCCTCGTCATAATCACTGCTTTCACTATCGGCGAGAGTTATAAAATAGTCCAATTCTTTAATTTCGTTTTTTCCCATATTTAAAAATTATTCGTTGCCAACTGCGTTTGCAATTTCCACCATTTCTTTAGCTTAATTTTAAGTCAACTGAATCCTTTAAAGTTATTGATCACTTCTGGACGGAGCTGATAGAAGCAATCACTCAGTGTTGACGAATTAATGGTGAACCACATCTGAATAAAATTCAAACGTTGAAAATAGAATAAGATAAATACAAATAAAAGAATGCGTGTATGCGAAATCTCCTCAAATCCACGCTCGGCAAAGATTTATTGTACAGTGGGGGTGCGAATAAATCAAAATCATATAATAATATTAAAGGTTTATTTTCCTAACACTAGTCTTTACAATCTTAGTGCCCCAGCTTTTTTGTGACCATGTGACCATTACTTAAGAAATAAATAATTTAATAGTTGGAAGAAGACATATAGGATCAGTTAAACGTTAAAAAATGAAATAATATTTCTTATTTTCAATAAACATATATGTTGAATTTTTGAAAATATTAAATTTGAGCATTTTATATTTTGCGGAAAGAAGTTATGACATTGAACCCTGGTTACACTAGTGAAAAATTATTATTTAAGTTTTAGCATTAATAATAAGAGGAATGCGCCTTATTATATCACTTTTATTGAAATAAGTGATATGGAGTACAACTTGTAATAATTATTTTCCTCTTACGTGATTAAAGAAGTATGGAGATCACTTGTCTAATGCGACACGCAGCAGACAATGTTATCTAGAATGAATTGACAAGAAGGTGACATTTACAATTATGTGTTTCTAATAATGTTTAGTTTAGCTCTTGTTAGTTTAGTTTGCTCAACCTACCTTTGAAATTTATCTAAGACTTTTTAAATCACTGTACATATTGAGCAATAAATTTTATTAACACAAGATGAAAGTAATGAAATTTACCTGATCGATCTCGTCTACGTCTTCTGATGCAGGAGGTGACAGCAATTCTCTGGATGAGTCCAGACTGGGACTCTAAAACGAGGAATAATAAGATAAGTAAAACCATCATTCAATTTCCGAATCATATTATTTATACGAACGTATAGCATGATACATAAGACTAGTTTATTAATAATTACATCTTCCTTTTTAAAAGAATACTAGTAAATTTTAAAAATCATTGCCACTTGTTTCAGTAAATCTCATGTATATACAATTGAGAAGTTTAAATTATACATAATACTGAGAAAACGTTTTCTAATTACATGCGAATTTTGTGAGATGCTGCATAATTATATTGCATAGACATGACTACTTACACTTCTTCTACTTGTCTTACATCTGTAGGTGGATGAATAACAGCCATCAGACTTCGTCCTTCGCCTCAAGCTACCATCGTCAGATGCATCATCACTTGGCAAACCCAGACTAGGTGAAGGGCAACTCGTTTTTTTCTGATCTTCGAAAGATTCTTCGATACAAGCAGGACTCAAGCTACACATAATATTTCCACAATCTCCTCCACAGACGGCTGATGTGGTAATAGTATCTTTGGCAGTGACGGAATTGATAGTTGTAGTACTTGTGCAAGCTGGAACGTGGTTCAACGGAGCTTCCGAACTAGTAGCAGGGGTATCTTGAGACGCTGGAATCTCTTGATTCCAAGCATGAGATTCATTGCTGGGATCACAAACAAAAGATTTTGAATTTACCGGCTGAGTTTCTATATGAGGAAAAGAAAATAATATTTCGGAATTATCCATATTTCTCTGAAGCATTAGCAATTGATTTTCTTCATTAGATGTATTTATTACATACTAAAATTTAAGATTAATAACAACTTACTAATTTGATGAGCGTTTAAATATATATGGATTATTAATTTCTACATGAGGTATTATAAAGAATAAATTAATTTCTGAAAGAAGCATAAAATTGCATGCAAAACATATAAACAAAGAATAATTCTTCAAGAATTAATCAGACGAATTACCTATGCTTTATGAACCTTTGGTAGAAAGAAGAATTATTGTTCTGCTTCTACTTAAAGCTGAATTAAAAATCATATATTTGAATCGAATTTAATATTTTGCTATCATTCTTTAGTGTTCCATTCTTATGCGCTGTCTCATCCTCAGAAACATAACGGAGCTAAGAATTATAAATTAAGGTACAAGCACAATAAAGAGTTACACGTTATTAAAGTTAACAAGTTATAAATTAAGGCACAACTTATAAAGTATGCATGGCAATATTCTATGATACAATAAATGATTAAGAAAGAATTTAGAGAACATCTATGTTATTTGTACATGTTATTTACATAACTTATATAAATTCCTAACAATATTCAGCTGATAGTAATTTAATTAACTTAGGCTGTTATTCTTGTTAATTTATCGAAAACTGCGAATTATGTTGTTACATCATCGACTAGAATAAATGAGTAAACCGAGCAGTTTTTCGTGATTTAAGCTTTATGCACGAAGTATTTTTTTCTTATTAAAAATGTAAGTCTATTTTGCCGACTTCTCGTCGTTTGTGATTAGCGGATAATAAATGCATACAAAAATTTCAGGCAAAATGGAAATTAAACACTTGTTAAAAATACACATTAAAATCTTTTGTGCATATTTACTATTATGCATAAAACTATCTCATCTCAAGTAGATCAAGAAAAGAAATATCCTTAATGAGCTCGAATATTTCCAAAGAAATCTGTCCTTTCTCATTACTCGACAGGCAACGAAGCCAACCATTAAAGCCAACTCTCCCAATAACTCAGAAACTAACTGGACCGGGAACTATTCCGTTTTTAACAAAGTACTAACTACCAAAAAGGAACCGTCTCCCTTTCTGGTTGTTTTTGTCCGCAAATCCTTTTGGTGAACTAATTGCGTTCCTGGCTGTAATTGAAGCAGCGAAGGGCCAGGATTTGGGCGAACTAATGAAATGTTTTGGGGCGTCGGAAAATGCCGATCCAATCGCAATCAAGTTCTAGCGCGGGAAAAGAAATAGATGAAAGAGAGAGCAGGAGTGCGTGGGCCTCGAAGTAATGACGCGGGAATGGCGGATAATCCATGGGGGTGTTACTCTGCGAATATATTGAACGCCCTAGTAACGAAAAAATAATGCTCGCTGTTGAATGGAGCATAATATGGAGTGCGAAACGATGGAAGCTGTTTTGGGAGTTCTTGTTTGAGTTAATGAAGGAGTTTGTTTGTTACTCTGCATTGAAAGTGAAAGTCTTTCGTATACTTTTGCGATTGCTCCTGCTAGTGATTACAAAGGTAGCTCGGAATCATTGCGACTAAAAGCACATACTATGCTAATTTCTTTCAGTAATTCTTAAAGATTATCGTAACTGAACCCTTGACTTATTTTTAAATTTAAGACAACCATTTCAAAATAGTTGTGGAGCTAAAATTAATAATCTTGATTTAGTTTAATATATTTTTCATCAATCCTCTTTTTTTCGATTTTTTATTTTGTTTTTGCGGTGGTGATATTCTTCTTTCAGGTATTGCAAACTGTAATTTGAGCGGCTTAATATTTTTCAGCTATTTAGTTTAATATATTTTTCATAAATCCTTTTTTTGTTTTCTTCTTTTGTTTTTGCGGTGGTGATATTCTTCTTTTTAGTTATTGCAAACTGTAATTTGAGAGGCTTAATATTTTTCAGGTATTTAGTTTAATATATTTTTCATCCATCCTTTTTTTCGTTTTTTTTTTTTTTTTTTGTTTTCTTTTGTTTTTGCGGTGGTGATATTCTTCTTTCAGTTATTGCAAACGGTAATTTGAGCAGCTTGAGATTATGTTACATCAGTGACGGCGAACTTATGGCACTCGTGTCATAATTGACACTCCAACCCATTTTAGGTGACACGCATTACTCATTCTCAGAACCGTCGATGGAAAAATAAGTTGCATATTACAAAAATATTTGCCTATTGCAGTGGCCTGTTTATTGTCAACATGTGCCGCGCTTACCTTGGATGCGTTCGAGTGCATTTTTGGCAAATAGATGACAGATGGATGATTCTATATGTGAGACGGCAGCAGAGTTAATTCTGACCTTTGACATGCCGAAATCAAAAGATTCGCTATCACTGTGTTAAACCTTCTTTAATGCTAACAAATGCTGAAATAGATTCTTTATGCTGACGTCGCATTTGTGATCAAAGAACGGACTCGAGATAGTCTTGAAATAAACTGCAGGGAAACACTAACCGAATTCAATAACCTTTGTGCAAAATATAAACTCCAACTCTACGAATAGAAGTTTCAAGTTGTAGAAACTGATATGCTCGGGGAGAATATTACAAAGCAACTATCACTCAAGATCAAAGGATTCCGCATCCAGAATGTCAAAACCATAAAATGCCTTGGAATTCACATTGATCACTCGCAAGAAAACTACATCAATCGTCTTAAGGAAATCAGAGATAAGCATGCGCCAAATTAACATCAACCTCAGAAGATTCTACGGATACATCACTAATACGTATAACAAGTCAAATCAAAACGCATCAAATGCAGCCTACTCTTCCATAACAAAAAGTTTACCTTTGTTATCAGGCTGTTTGTTTTTCCTGCGACTTATTTTTAAGCCAAGTGAAATTAATTACTTCCTTAGAAGGCAATATCACTTCAGGTGTGTGACGAAATTATACTGGATTTAAATTTTTGAATTATTACAGCTTTTATGAAAACAGCTGAGACATTGCATCAGAATATGATGCGAAGAGTTAAGTGATTTTGCTGGCGATAGAGTTATTCGCCAATATTCTTCTCATTATGGAATGTTTTCATTGGTGGAGATTCTTAATTGTTGGTTTAACTATACCAGCTTATAAAAAGGGGGAATTTGGGAACATAAAGGCCTTTTTTGCCTTATTTTGGAATTAAATGAGTGAGAATGCTATTATGGCATTGGAGGCGCGTTTATGCGTAGTTGCTGTTGTGATGGCTGCTATTATTATTTCCACCATCATTTGACGCGTGGTGCTGTCTTTCATTTATTTTGGAGTTGCTGCTTGGAGGATTGAGACGCCCCAAGACAAGTGCGCATAACAGGGTGATGGTCGATGCTATTACAAAGGTTGTGGAAGCTACATTCGGAGCACTGGAATACCATTCTTCAGCGGCAGGAATAAAATGAATTCTACATTGGCAGATTTCGAAAAATCAGTGTAGAACTCAGTCTAGCAAGCAAAATGAATAAGTAATCTTCGTAAATGTAACCAGGTTTCGTCATTTGTCGTACTGGAACAACTCACCATGACACGACAAAGACCAAAAATCTACCTAGGGTAAATCCCTCATTAACTCGTTATTAGTGTCATTATAACATCACGCATTCACCATGATAAGGTGGTTGCGCTGCTCAGTAATCGTAAACCGAGGGTTGATAAGCAGAGAATTTTAATTGAGAGATATAATGCAAATCTGTATATTCACTGAGCATCTGCAGTGGTAATCAATAATTTAATATCTATTATAGCATTTGTAAGGTTACTCAAGTTCTGGATTTTGAAGTGAACTTTTCGTTTTTAATGCATTATCCTCTCATTTAGTGTCGCCTATGTGATCTTTCGTTTTGAATTTAAAGAAAAGTTCTTAAAACCAACAATAAGAACATATTTAAGATTTTAATAAATTCAAATAAGTTTGACGAAATTGTAATTTTATTCGAGAGGTTTTTCGCAGCGAAATATTATGAAACTGAAAACCTGGTCTTATTACTTTAAAAGAAATTTTCTACTTCTATATATATTTTCGTCGAATGTTTTCTTGCTTTAAACAGTGTTTTCCTGATTCAACGAACAGCATAAAATGTATCGTAAACTTTGGAGCTGAAGATATAACAGGTATCCTTCATGAAAATTCTTCAGTAGATGTATTCTTTTTTATTTCCTAGGTAATGATTACATGAAGCATTTTTTATATGATATTCTGAGATACAGATATTTTCAGTTACGATTGTATGTTATTTACTGGATTTAAGTCTTTCTCATTTTAATTATTTAAACATAAAAAATAACTAATTTCTTGTAATTATATCTCTGCAACGTTATGAAAGCAGTCAAAACTGCAGTTAAATAGAAGCTACCTTATCTTGTATGTATTAAGTTTACCATGATAAAAAAGTTAAGCTTCCTTGCACACAGATATTTTGTTTCAACAACTAAATTTTCTGAGTACTTTTCTAAGCTTAAGAAACTCCAGATCCAATGCGGTTATCTCTATCTTCGAAGCTTAAAAAAAGGATGGAATAGGATAAAGAAAGCTTACCCGTAAAGAACAAGGACATGTAATTTTTGTCTTTTTTCTTAGTGCCCTGAGAAGACCAAGACATCGCTCGACCCAATTCCGCAATAACCTGTCAAGAGAGGAAAAGATTAAACAGAGGATGAAGCCTTGCAGGCGCGCCGCTTGTCACATCCTCAGATGCTTAAGGAACTGACATGAAAATAATATTTATCGCATTATCACCAGCCTTGTCTGTGTTGGTAAGGTTATTTTTTGCTTCTTTGCCCCGAAGATAATGATTTCAGTTTAAAAAAGGAGATAAATTAAATGCAATACGATATGAAAAAGAGCTACTGTTCAATGATTTAATTTATTCCTTGAATGTAGCGTATTATGAGAAAAAGTAAGATAACATAAAAAATAAAAAAGTTATTCTTCAATAGTTTAAGTAAACTGCTATTTGCAAATTTATTACAGAGCTAAACGTTTTGTGTACGCCACTTGTTTTCAACAGGGGAGGTACCGCTCCCCGGGGGCAGTACGAGGATGCTGAGGGGCAGTGAACTTGTTTTGGGCGGTAGAGAGCGGTAGGCATGTTTTGGGCAGTAGGGGGCAATGAGCATGTATTAGCATTCAACTTAATTTTAAAACTCTCCAAAAATTTATTAAATCGATTGTCCGGTTTACACCATTTGTGCCAGCAGAAAAACGAACTCAGGCACCTGCTCCTAAGAGCAGAGACGTAGCTAGGGCTTTCAGCGCCCGGGGACAAATGAAGATTTTGCGCCCCATCATGTTTGCTAAGAATGGAAATCATTTAATTCTAAAATTTCGTAACAGCAATTTGGCGCCCCTGGAGGCTGCTTCCCCTCTAGCTACGCTACTGCCTAAGAATGGTGAGGATAATTTATATTCTAGGTAGTATGACTTTGAAGAACTCGACACTATGGTTTTTCTGCAGTTGCAACCAGCACAGCGCATGCGTCAGCTATTTCCGCCCTCCATTAATCGTAGCGCATGCGTTGAGTGTCCTTTCAATATGAACGTTGGATTCGACTCGTGATTCATGTGCCGCTTCGTTAGCTTCATTTCTGTTCTCCCCCCCTCAGTTTCGGTTTACTTTCATTATTCATTTGGCCAGTCGCCTAGGTAATTGCGCTTATTAGTTCTTTTATAGTGATCGTGAATTATTAATTTTGAGAAAGTTATCTTGTACTTGAAATTTGGATTCGTTCCTTCGACGTCGAAATTGCAACTGCCCATGTGTTTACTTTGTAACAAAGTGTTATCGAATAAGCCAATGAAACCGTCTCGTTTTCAGGAGCATCTGAAAAAAAATCATCGTGACAAATAAAATAAAGATTTGTCGTTTTTCACGAACATCAGGGACAAGTTTCTGAAAGCACCGTCTGTCTCAGGATTACTAGCAGCGTTATCAAACTAGTAATGCAATTACCTTCCAGAGCCAAACTATCGAATTAAACAAATTTGGTGTGTAAAGGTTACTGAAAAAAATTACTTAAAAATTTTTGCCTTTTATAATTCAGAAAAGCCTCCTTTCCCATACCCTACCTTACTCGCACCGCAAGTACTGTGTTTCTTCAGATTTCTCACTCAACCCAACATTGAAAATTGCTACCTTTGCCATATATTATCATCTCTTTAAGTTATAACAATCAATGTTGTTATACCCTGTATTATTGCCATTTATTTTAGTAAAAGTAATATTTGCCATTTATTTTAGTTAACGTGATGCTTTAAAATATAAAACACAGAAGTGTTTGGAAATGATAAACCTCCTAAGGAGAAGTTTGTGAGCAAATTTTCACGCTCTGTCCAGTGGCTCAACAGTACTTTTGTTTAGTATAATTTTACACTCCGTCCTTCAAAAGTCCAGGAACAAATAGTTTTAGGGTAGCAGGTTTAAAGGAAACATGGCAAATATTCGAAAACTAGGCACAAATAGGTATTATGCAGTGACTTTGTTGGGGCATAATACCTACTTGTATTATGCCGCTACAAAGATCGTATATTGATCGTACGCTACAAAGATCGTAATGTACTCCTGGAAAAAAATTCTAAAATGTAATAATTAGAAAATCCATTATTAATAAGACATGGAGCAAATGCATTTTTATTTAAATAAAATGGAACAACAGCTTTAATGTAGAAGATGTCTTTCTCTGAAGTGAATGCTAGCTTGATATATTTTATTCACACTGTACATAGATTTGCCAGATGCTTCAATTGGAAGCAAAGCAAAGACTACACATGTCGTAACTTTGTTACAACTCGTTTAAGGATATTGGAAGAAGAAAAAACCAACTATCTGTCTTTTCAATGTAGTCCAATACAAGCTAGATTGGATTAAGGTTTGTTGGCCAAGTGGGTTAGTCCTTTCGATGAATACGTTGCTTAAGAAAGCACTGGTCGGTTATATGCATCCTCCGAGAGCTTATGTTACCATCCACTAATATGAAAGAACAGCCGATTGCAGGTTCAGGTTCAGGTGGAAATGTAGTGCGACACCCAATGTTTACTATAAGTAATGTAGGTACAGTCCCACTACACTTCGGTTTATTTTTAAAGTTAATATTCAAAATAGTACATAGTATAATATAACACATAATATAACAGTATAAATAGTATATCGATATTTTGATTGATATCATATCTATTCGATATATTATAGAAGTTATAATAGGTATAATAATAGTAGGCTAAACAGTCATAATTTATAAAGTTCAAAAGTTCCTTGAGATAAGTTTATTTATATGAATCTGTATCTTTTTTCCTTTTTTTTTACTATATCGTTTAAAAAAAGGGGGGAAAGCCGATTGCATTAAAATACGCCTTACAGAAGGATCGAGGATATCACTCTTATTGACTGAGATATTACCTTTCCTATAGGAAACATAAGTAAGTCAGCATGACAAATTAAACTGAAACTTGCTCAAACGAGGAAACTGTCTTCTAGATAAGTGTCTGTTCAACAATATTCGTCAAGCTACGCCGAAATATCTCTTTAACATTAAATAGTTTACGTTATTAAGTAAGCCTTAAAACTAACGTGCAGTTAAAAGCAGTGACTACTTGCGGTGATAACTTAAAAGAAATTTAACGACACAATTTAAGTTAACAAAACAGGCTGACCTAGAAACCTACACCGGCGATATACTAATTAGATCGTCCGAATGCGTAGCCACTTCTTAGATTAACAGCTAGAGGACAAAGTAGCAAACGAGCGTTTCACTAGAGAAATCACGCTCTGTCTAACCTTTTCGTTTCTACTGTTTAGATATTCTCGATCACCTACTGAAATTGCAGCTTGGCGAGGAAATGCGAGGGGGAAATAAGAGAATTCAGATAAGATACCAACACTAAAATAACTGGTTAGTAAACTATGGGGAAATCTACAATCAAAGAAATCATCTTTTTTACCATATAAAGAAGTAAGCGTATGACGCACGATGGAGATACATTGTAAGGTAAAAGAAAGTTAAGAGTTTACATTGTAAGGTAAAAGAAAAGAATATTTTAAGCGAAAGCTTTTTCTAAATAAAAAATTCTCTTAGTCCCTTTAGCATCAAACACCGTGCATAACACTTTAAATTGAATTAATTCGAAAGTGTCAAACAAACAAAAAAAAAAAAAAAAAAAAAAAAAAACTCAAAAACGCGCTATATGGAAAATTTCCAGTTTTCACTTAGAGCTAGTTTAGAAAATTATTATTATACTATGCATTCTAATTTTTGGTAATTTAGTTTCTTAATTTCAGACGATTATGCCACGCTAAGTATACAACATATTTCTCCTTTTCCTTATTTTATGATGCACTAGAATTAACTATTCGATATTTTCCTAAATCCTTGGTATTCCACTTTCCAATGCATAATTAAATATTACTAACACTTAATTATAGGTATATGAATCATAATGCAGTTTACTTAACTGGTTGCTTGTACTGTTTGTCCTTCCAGAAAAATTTCAATGCAATGAAGTTGTATAAAAGTTGGTACATATGACTAAATTTAAAAATATATTACTTTTTATTCAATAAATATTTTCACGAACTTTAGGAAGTTCTTTAGGAAACTTAAATTTAATTTAAAGTTTCGATCAGACAGCAAATGCAATTTCGGTAAAATCCCTGAACAATGCTGATTTCACCCTTGTTTGAATTCCGATGAATGGGCTACCTGCATGGGTTAGTTTGGTGCTCCATGGTTTGGGCCGCTTTAGCATGGGCTATCTAGGAGCAAGGTTGCTTTCGTATAATATTTTATGGAGCGTTTTTTAATGTTTCGTGGATTAGCTTTATTTATTAAACATAATGTTCTCTGTTCATATTCCGTACACCTCTGTTCAAGAAAATGCAAAAAATAAATAAAATGCATAATTAGTTACGTATGATATTCGCCTTAAATTAACATTATATTAGTTTCTAAAGAAGACAAAAGTAATGTTCAATTTATTTATTACTTTTTAAAATCCTAAACGAATATAAGTCACTTAGGCATTAGCCATAATTTTGTAAAAATCATACTAATATATCGAAAACGTTTTCTTACTCTCCGAGCTATTTCTATCTCTTTCAGAATGGCATTTAAGGCCTAACGACACAGAGATCTTTTTTATCATCTGGAAATAAATATAGGAAAAAAGGATACGTTGGGATAAAGATATCTTCTATTGTCATTCAAGTGTGAGATTTTAAAGAAGACTATTCGGAAGGAAAACTATTTTCGAGATTAGGATTTCCAAATTTGATAGATGATTCGTTTTTTTCCCATTTCATTCGCTGGCGAGAAGTTGAAAAAACTCCATTTACTTTCCTATAACTTTCAGTCTTTCAGAAGATACGGAGCAAATAATTTAAGAACTAAATTCATTTGATACTAAGATTTTCAACTATGAATTTTCATTTAATATTAGAAGAAAATATTTTATTGAGGCCTGTTATACAACTGAACATTTAAATACTACAATGCTACTATCTAAAATGAGAGTTAGTGAGAGAAACCACTTTCAAAAGGTTTGGTTTTGATAAGAAATTTTGATAACAAAGAAACAAAAAGAAGAAATATACAAACCTGAAAACCCATAATTGGTATATTTAGTACAGATGAT